TAACTCTGGGAAAGGGTCAGAGAGCTACAGGACTGTAGCAAGTGGTGCAAAAAGGAAGTGAGGTCAAAATGCAAAATACATCTGATATAGGTTGGGTATAAACAAGATGAGCTGGAAGCTGCAGCTTGTGAAAATAACTATGATCTAACTGGCATCACTGAGACCTGGTGGAACAGCTCTTATGACTGGAAAGTCAACTTGGAGGGTTACAGTCTAGTTTCCAAGGGTAGGGTTGGGAGAAAAGTGGTGGTGTGCCTGGTATATCAGAAATGCATACTCTTGTTCCATGGTTCAGGAGAAAGAAGACAAGGGGGCATGGCCCTTTACCCAGGATCTCTTGAGTTCATATTGACAAGATTTCATAGAAGCAGGACATAGAAGTGGTGCCCCTACTTTACCTGTGGCAGGTTAGGGTGATATGTCTGTGTTGTCAGGGTTGATGGTAGTTCTTATGTAGAGTTTAGATTAGGGATTGTATAAGGTAGTTTTGATAGGGGTATCCAGCCTCAGACAGAAGGTTGGACTAGATGACCTCTGGAGGCCCCTTCCAGCCCTACTTCTTTCTACGATTCTCTCTTTTTCAAGTTTTTTTCCATCCAGTACCCAGAATCTTTTGTAGGCACTTGTTTTGAAAGGAATCTAATTTCCTGTCTAAATGTTTTGATAGATCTCCAGCTGTTTTTTAGTAGTGGGATTATATTTGTGCAAGAGCTAGGTTGTAGGCTGTCTTGCCTAGTGATTAGGGCAGTAAATATAATCCAAGTTAGCTGATACCAGGGGGGATTCCAGAAGCAGAACCTAAGTTATAGACCAAGTCAAGGTTCTCAAGAGATTGAGTTACCAGTTCCAAGGCGGGAAATCCAAAGACAGAGTCCAAATCACAGACCGAGTCAAAGTTCAAGGGTTGTATACTGAGTTACCAGGTACAAGGACTATTTCCAAAACACCAGAGTCCAAGAACATACTTGAGTAGGGTCAGGAACCAGAAAACCAGGGAGCACAGGATCAGAGGCTTACCAGAGCAGCAGACCTTCAGGCAGAATTATTAGCTGGCCTATAATTGCTGCCACAGATGGAACACTTCCCAGCAGCCAATCAGAAGGTCCTTACAGTGGCCAGCTGGATCATATGCTGAGGTTAGGGCTTCCAATCAGAGCCCCAGGCAGATGTGGTCAAGTAAGCAATTCACCCAGACTGGGGTGCCTAGTAGGGCCCCTGACAATTTGAGTTAAAGAGTTTCAGCTTAATTTTGATACTGTAAATCTTTGATTTCCATGCATTGTTAACTTCAGTAAATTCTGTAGATGCAGTTCCTATCCTCAGTGTCACTTCTTCCTTGAGGTCTCCATTGATTAATATAGTACAATATAAGTTCCATGGGCAGGAAGTTATTGGGCTCAGAAAAGCAAGGTGCTTATCCAACCTCCTCTTGAACACCTCCAAGGATGGTGACTGCACCACCTCTGCTGGGAGTGTGTTCCAGATTCTGGTGATCCTTACAGAGAAGAAGTTCTTCCTTATATCTAGCCTGAATTTACCCTCTATAAGCTTATGTCCATTGGTCCTTGTCCTCCCTTGAGGTGCCTTTCTGAAGAGTTGCTCACTTAAATCTTGGTGTTCACCCCTGATGTACTTTTAGGGGGCGCTCAAGTCACCTCTCAGCCTTCTCTTACTCAAACTGAACAGGCCCAATTCCCTGAGTCTCTCCTTGTAGGGCCTATCCTTCATGCCCTTGACCATATGGGTGGCTCTTCTTTGTACCCTCTTGAGCTTATCCACGTCCATCTTGAAGTGTGGTGCACATCTTCAATGTGGGGGTCATCATTGACCACAAGATGAACATGAGCCTGCAGTGCGATGTTGCGGCTAGTAAAGCGACCAAAATGCTGGCTTGCATCCATAGATGCTTCTCAAGCAAATCCCGGGACGTCATTCTCCCCTTGTACTCAGCCTTAGTGAGGCCGCAGCTGGAGTACTGCGTCCAGTTTTGGGCTCCACAATTCCAAAAGGATGTGGAGAAGCTTGAGAGAGTCCAGAGAAGAGCCATGCGCATGATCAGAGGTCAGGGAAGCAGACCCTACGATGACAGGCTGAGAGCCCTGGGGCTCTTTAGCCTGGAAAAGCGCAGGCTCAGGGGTGATCTGATGGCCACCTATAAGTTTATCAGGGGTGACCACCAGGATCTGGGGGAACGTTTGTTCACCAGAGCGCCCCAAGGGATGACGACTAGGTTGAATGGTCATAAACTACTACAAGACCGTTTCAGGCTGGACATAAGGAAGAATTTCTTTACTGTCCGAGTCCCCAAGGTCTGGAACAGCCTGCCGCCGGAGGTGGTTCAAGCGCCTACATTGAACACCTTCAAGAGCAAACTGGATGCTTATCTTGCTGGGATCCTATGACCCCAGCTAACTTCCTGCCCTTTGGGCAGGGGGCTGGACTCGATTATCTTCCGAGGTCCCTTCCAACCCTAATGTCTATGAAATCTATGAAATCTTAGTGTGTCTTCATAGGTGTATTCCTGTGTCTGGAGCATATGTATAGGAGCAAAGGGGTAGATGTGCTCAGAAATGGTTAGGATTAGACACATTGTCATAGCAATGCAGACATACCCTCTGAGCTCCACTTTGACTGCTTGTTTGCTAGGCTGTCTGTCTTTGTACCTTCTCTGTGGTGTCACTCAGTGGCACAATGCCATCAGCAAACCTTGATCCATTTGCTCTCTGTCCATGCTATGCTACAGTATGTATTGCCTGTACACATCTTTGTTATCTATTCTATGTTAATGTCAGGCAACAATAGAGAAAGAATGCAACACTTGTTCAAGTAAGTGTTCAGCTGAACCACTGTTGTTTGGTCATTTCTCCTTAAAGAATATTTTGTGCCTCTGTACCTTGATGACTTCAGCTGCAATTCCATGGAACTGAAGGATGTTCCATAATGTAGGTCCGTGAAAGTAGTCAAATGCCCTATAAAACCTCAGTGAAATTGATGGTGACAGATGAGCCTGTGTCATGCATCAAGGTGTAGGTAGTCTGACTGGCAAGTTGCTCAAGCTGTTAGCCCAAGGTCTGAGGGTTGCCGAGGTCAAAGCCAGAGGGTCAGAGACCAAATTGGGACCTAAATACTAGGCAGAACAAGATTAGGGAACAGGCTGGGTTAGACAACTGTGAGAGCCAGGTTCCAACAATCCAAGATGTCACACAGAGGCAGTGGTCAAAGTCCAAGCAGAGTCAGCAATGGGGCTAAGTATAAACGGTTAAAAAGACCAAGAATTAATCAGTTCAGTCTTTGCAGGTTAGTCTAAACTGCATAATTTGAACCGATAAGTAAGTGAACAGACATTTACTTTTGATTTTGGAAATGAAGCCAGGTGCCTGCAGTGACCCAGGCCAGAAGCCAGGGGGTACTAGAGCATGTCTGTATGTGAGGCTGTAGCAGACAGCTTGGGCCAAGGCTAACCTGCCCACTTTGTTGGGGGGGAGCGGTTTGTGGGGGAGGTGCAAAGTATCCTGGGGTGCTGGCAGGGACTTTGAGTTAACTTGAATCTGGAGGAGATCTGGGACAGAAGTTCAGTAAACCAATTTAACCTAACTCAGTTAAGTCTGATGCTACATCCATCCAAGTTTATCTTTAACGGGGTTTGGCCATTTTGAAAGTGGTTTATGTGCACTGAACTTTTGTTGTGTTACAGATTTGAAGCCATTTCTGATTACTTATACCAGTTTATGTGTAATTTCTGTCCTTAACTCAGGTGGTCAGGTCTAGAAGCAGGGCAGAGGCAAGGAAACAGGGCAATCCAAGGGTGGCAGGATCCTTGTTATCTAAACCAGGGATTCTCAACCTTTTGTGTACCAGGGCCATTTGTAAACATCAATTCCTAGTCCTGACTCAGTGTCCCTCACTCCTGACCTGTTGCCCCCTGCCCCCAGGCCCCAGCCCCCACCATGTGTGGGGCCAGGGGTGGTTGTGGGAGGGGGTAGGGGAGCAAGCAGCCCCTTGCAGGCTGGAACTCTGCCAGCCTGCAAGGGAAAAGCCATGGTTTGCCATGTTTCTCTCTTTTAAAGGAGAATCAATTTTTTTAAGTTTGTTCGCGACCCTTTCATATATTCTTGTGACCCACTTTTGGATCACAACCCACAGGCTGAGAAATGCTGATCAAGACAGCTTTCCCAGGAATCAGGAAGCCTTGTATAGATGGGAAGACCCAATCAGGGGATAGGAGCCCCAGGCCAATCAGGAGTCAGTGATGGGGAGACCTTTCCCTGGTGGGGCCTCTTTCCTTGTTGTTCTGCCTTCTTCCATAAGCTGTGGCTTAGTGGAGGGCTGAGCTGGTGCTCATTCCCTGGGGGCAGGGGTTTGGGACTGGGTCCTGACAGCCTGCCCTTCTATGCATCTTTTTAGTGATAGTCAACAGTATGAATATCTGGTTTACACAGTCTCTCTTGGGCCTAATTCAGCCTAGTCTTTCCTAAACCCTTCATCCACTCCATCCTTTTCACCCAGTTTAGTAACACATTGCATATGGCGTTTTTTACAATGGGTTCTGCTCTGCAGATCCTGCAGTCAGCAGTCTCCCTAACATATTTTTCTGACAATGGTTCTGTCAGTTTCATTAGGAAGCGGATCTCAAGTGCTTTTAACATTTCTACGACAATTAGATTGTCTTCCACAGCTTTATTATTTTCAGCTTCTTTTTGCAGCTTGTACTTTTGATTTTTCCTACTGGAATGATGTAAGTGTTTGGCTGTCTGGTTAACATGTTCTATCAAGTCTGGTGCTGAGATGGGGTTGCGTTTGTTGAGGACTTTGTTGAAATGCCAGTCAAGATCAAAGATTGAAAGTATAATACAAAAATAGCATATGTATTAAATCACAGTTTAATTGATGAAGGTTGTGTAGAATACATAGAAAACTGCAATACGCTTAGGTTGATATTACCTTTTGGTACAGAAAATATTGCTTCTAAGTGTGTTCATCCTGATGTGTATTTGTTTCAGCAAATATATTGATGAGTGTGAAGAAACCAAGAATCAAGTTTCTGAGATCAGCAGGAAGAATGGTGAATTCTTAGCACATCTTTCTGGGGTTTTGGACATAGACATCAGAGGAAAAGAAGAACCACAGGACCTTTTGATTTCCAAGGTATTCATGTGCAGTTATTGGTTTATGTGCAGTTATATTTTTACATGCAATTATATTTTTTATTGTAGAGACTTACTTAAATATTTAATTGTATTGCATTGCTCTACTGGACAGTTATATAATAGGGCTTTGTTGCCTTTTGAATTATTTGTTTCAAAATATACAAATCCATTTGTAGGATAGTTTAATAGCACTGTATTCTTTGATAGTAATAGGAAGAAATACAACAGAACTTCAAGAACTTTAAGTAACTTTAACAAAACTTTGAAGTTGGAAACCGTTTAAAACATTTTTTACAAACAATGGCCTAATTTTCAACAGATGCTGAAAACCCTCAGCTGTCATTGAACTCAATGAAGCCTTCTGTATTACATTAACTTACAACTATCATTATTGTTGCTAGGTTCAAATTTTAGCATGCAAGGCATGTAATTGACTGCTTGTCTAAAACATTATAAACTATTGAAGTCACAAGGGTAACAGGTTGCTTAGTCTTGCTGCCAGGCAAATAAATTCTGCCTAGATGCTCCCACAGAAAATCCCCAAATGAGCCAGTAATGACACACTGACATGGGGGAGGGGAGGAGATGAACTTAGCTCTATGTTGCTTTTGAGCATACAGACAAGCCTCATCTTCAGTGCAATACTGGGGTCGCCCCTCAGGGTGTTGTAATAGGCTAATTTCCAGGGTGACATGCTTCTTATTTCCTGAGAAGTAAGAATGGGCATACTGTTGCCATGATATAGATCTATCCAATGTGACAGAAAATTCTAGCACTGTTTCTAATGCTCAGTGCATGCACATACCCCGTTTAACAAGGACGTTTTCAATGGTGCCACTGAAAAGCAACCTTAACTCTGACTCTGTAGTAAAATACATTTATTGCCATTCATAATTGAACCTTAACCATTCATCATATAGCATTCTCTTAAAATGCTTCATGAAACTGATATGTTTCTTTAGATTTTTTCAAACTTTTGGCAGCGGAATTCTCATTCAAGAAAATGAAACCAATTGCTTTTTAGGCCTGCTATTTGGTGTGAAAAGCCAACTTATTTTAATTATGCATGTTTTGCTTTCTTTGGTTAGTTCCATTATACTCAGGGCTGTCCCTATGGGGGGTGAATCGGGGCTACCGCCCTGGGTCCTGTGCTTTGGAGGGCCCCGTGGAGCCAGGTGGGGCAGCAGTGGCGCAGAGCTGGGTGGAGTGGTGGCTCCGTGTCCAGCTGCTCGCCAACAGCCCCCCTCCCCGACCCTGCTGAGCTTCTTCAGGTCTGGGATCGGAGCGGGGGTGGGGCCTCGCATGGGCTGATTTGCTCCAGGCCCCACACCCTGCTCGGGTTGCCTCTGACTATACTACCCCAATTTCTGCTCTCAAGTCACTTTGTGAAATACTGCCTTATTTACATTTATAACAAATATTTTAGGAAATCTGGACTTTACCATTGAAAAGAAAAATACTTAAATTTAACCTTTATCTGTATATAACAAAAGTTTCTTACAGTATGTCATCTTAATCAAAGTGCACCCAAATTGCAGTGTTTTCTCATAGAGGAAAAAATAGTCCCTGTCACTAATAAGCCAACTGTCACTGCAGTAACTATAAATGAACCATTTCTTTCATACTAGCTTATGAAATTGTTTTTTTTTAATCCTGTTCTCATGACAAAATATTACATTTGAAGTTTTACCAAGTATAGTGCACAGTATATCTACCCTTTTTGTCTTAGTAGGGTCTCTCACTTTACTCCATAAAGATTTGAATTAAAGATAGAATAGGAGTTGCTTAAACTAAGAAACAGTCTATCAGTAGAATAAAAGGAACATGTTTTCCCCGCCCATATTATTGAAGTATCATGGGCTATTCTTTACCCTTCCCTATCCTGGTGCCCTGGCAGTGATATATCTTGAATGTTCCTTGGGCTACCAGCTCTCCCAGATTACTACATTGTTTAGAACAGCAACCCAGTAACTTATTTGTCTATCAGATGTTCCTAGTATTTCTTATGCTCAAGAAAGCAGCATTGGCAAATTTAAAAACTTATGTCTGAGAACATTTCAAACATAATATTTCAAGCATGTCCTATGCTAGTTTCCCATTCCAAAGGCATGACAGCCATAAATCTTACAGAAAACCCCCCTGTTTCCCACCTACAGATAGTCATATGGTCTCTTCATTTTTTGCCCTGCCTTACCAACAGTGTGGACAAGAAGAAATGATAACAGCCCTCCAGATGCTTGATATATTACTGAGTGCGCGCGCGCGAGCGTGCGTGCGTGTGTGTGTGTGTGTGTGTTTAATAGACTAACCCACATTAAGGTTTGCTATAATTTATCTAATATAATAAAAGTCTTAGTCTGTCTGTCTGCCTGTAACGCTTTATTCACATTCTGATTGGCTGTCTTGGCAGCCAATCACAATGCTGACTGAAACAACCAATCTGAGTGCTCTGCACAGACAGACACACATGGAGGAATGCTGCCATGACAGTGGGGGAGGGGGTGAGGCCAGTGGTGCTGCCCCCCCACCCTGCTCCTTGAAGGCAGAGGGGGATGGCGGGGATGAACTGGGACAACAGAGCACTGCCAGGATGGTGGGGGTGGAGGGGACAGAGTGGGGGGGTGAGGCACTGCTGGCCTCACCCTCGCACTCCCAGCCCTGCTCCATGGAGGCAGCAGCAGCGCGGAGTGCTAGCGGTGCAATGCTAGCCTCTCCCCCCTGCTCTGGCACATGAGACCAGAAGTGGGTGGTAGGGGGGGGTGTACGGGGGTGGAGGCAGAGAGGTGGCACCACGGGGTGTTGGGTGGCGGTGCTCCTTCCCCCCCACCCAGTCATGATGGGCAACGGTAGGGATGGACTGGGATGGTGGAGCGCTGCCATGACGGAGCCTTGGAGGCAGCAGCACGGGGTCCTGGCGATGCAGCACTGGCCTTGCCCCCCCGCTGCAGCCTTGCTACCATTGCCACTGCTGCCATGCCCCGACAAAAGCCGGCAGAGCCGGGAGTTGGCAGGGAAGTGGGGGAGAGAAGTGGGAAGGCGAGGGGGGGCACAGTGGTGATGCCCCACCACCACTGCTGGGCCCTGAGAACAGCCAGGTGGGAGGAAGGGGAGGCAGGGGGAGGGAGTTGTGCATGGCTGGATGCTCAGTGGCGGCAGCGCGGGGTGATGGCTGTGGCTGCTGTATGCAAGCTTCCCCCCCTCCCCTGTGCCTGGGAGGTGGTGAGGTCGGGAGCCAGACTGGTGGCGGGGGTGCATGGGGCTGGAGGCAGTGGGGCTGGAGGCAGAGTGGTGGCAGTGTGGGGAGGTGGGTGGTGGTGCTCTGTCTCCACCCGTCTTTCCCTCCCCGAATCATCCTTGATGGGCAATTGACTAGTAAGACATAATTTGCTTATGGTATAGTGTGTGCTCCAGGTTCTTCTTCCCTTGGGAGGAACTGCTAGAAATAAATAACGGAACACAATCTTAGTTCTCACCCTAAAAGATAATACGATGGCAATTTTATGGTGATGATTAACAGGAAACAAGTTGAAATGAGTATAGACAGTTTTTAATAGGAAGTGGTATAAGAAGTTTATTAATACTTATTTAACTTTTCTCTCTCCAGCTCACTGAAACGCACAAAGAAAATAAAATGTTAAAAGGGCAGATTTCTACTCTCAAAGAAGCTATCAGTGTTCATGAGATGGAGTCAAAAGCTAGCAGAGAAACCATCATGAGGCTTGTTTCAGAAATGAGCAAAGAGCAGAAAAAGGCAGCAGCCTACTCCCAAGACAGGGACAAGCTTAACAAGGTACACTGTTTTTGTATTGTGCATGTCTGTGTGATCTACTGATATTTTCTGGAAATGAAAAATGTATTTTGTGATAGAAGAGCATGCTTTGAAACAGAATAAGAAAATGGTTGTAAGATTTCAATACATATCCTTAGCAGTATGTTCTTTGGAAATATGTTTGGGCCTATGAAGTTGGAAGATTTGCTTTATTAAAAAAAGTGTAAATATTTCCCAGCCTCAAGTTTTTGAAATCTCAGTAGTAGTGGGAGGTTAAAGGAATGACTTGTGCTTGAGAACCCTGCTCTAACCTTGACGCCTTCCTGTTCACCAGAGTTTTTGTTCTTGTTCAACAATTCTACGCACCTGTATTAATACCTCAAACTTGTAATTGGGCAAGTGATGTGTAAGGCAGTGTGTGAAAGTACAGATCAATTTGGTATTTCTAAGACAAGTATGGTACATGAGAAGAGTTGCCTACTTAGAAATTCTTATTTCATTTCTAGAAATAAACCTTCAGAATTTTACAGGTATTTTTCTTTAATCTCACAACTCTGCTTATTTTTAAAATTACTGTAATTTTTAAAACTGTAAAAATTGCTGTAATTTTAACTCATAATGTTTTCTTGGTTCCATTAAAAAGGAAAATAATGTGTCTTAGCTGTGAAACACCTGGTTATTGTCATTACATAATCAATTCATTTTCCTAATCAGAAACATTGATTTGACTCATACAAAAAAATTATAGCTAGCAGCATGGCCTCCATCAAAAAACATTATCTTGCTGTCCTTCATTCCGCAGAAGAAAATCGATAGGGAAAATTTGTGTAGCAGAAGAGGTGATGTTCAACAGAGAAATCCGAGTGAAGCTGTAATAAATCTTGAATATACCAAATTCACTTAGCAGATTTTTCAGAAAGTTGGGTAGTTTAGAGGGCTAATAGTTAGCAAGGCTTTTTTAAGAGAACTTGGTAAAATTACCTTTTAGGGGTATTAAAATACAAAATATGAAAAACTGCATTATCATTATTTTTATGAACAAAAAACCACTGATGCACCCATAAATGTTTCCAGTTGTAACCCATAAAAGCAGAAATTCTTGGAAAAGAAAGTGTGTCATCTAGTTGTACACACAATACCCTGGAGATGGAAAAACAGCTGATAAATACACTCTGGACAGCAACGTTTTTATTATGTAGAGGAGAAAGATGGTAAGAATTATGTGATGTGTTTACTCAGTAACTATACAAGTTTTTGCTGAAAAGACTGCTAGTCAATCATTTAACATGTTTTATCCCAAGCTTAGATAAAAGTAAAAGAGCTTGCAGTGAAAAATTAAATAGCTTTATTCTTGATGCTCCCTTCTGTTCCCATCACTCAAATAAAATGTAGGAGAGGATATGAGAAGGATGTAATATATTTTCTAGGCTAAGGTTCAACGTGGAGTTATTTTAAACTGAGATTATGGCCCTATTTGAGCTGTTTTGCAAGTGTGCATTGGCTGCCAGAATACTTCCTAAGCTGAGCTAGTTGTATGAAAGTATCTGCCTGTGATTTATCATGCAGATGTCAAACACATTATTTATTTATTTAATTTATTCTACAGAAATGTTTTTAGACTAGATTGAATAACTAAGATACAAGGGGATCCTGTAATGGCAATTCTTCTTGCCTTTTCGTGATGATAAATCTTTTGTTTGGCTTATCTGGTGGTTGTCTTGCAGCGTTCCTTCAGTTCCACTTCAAAAATGCAAGTATTAGAGGAATATGTGGAAAGTTGAGAAGAGGTTGCATCCTCACTGTATTAAATCATTTTGTATCCATGCAGTGCAAAACTGGCTTTTGAACTACTTTTGATGAGGAAAATGTATAATGTTGCCTGTGGCTGTGGCCTTCTTGCTCTGTTGGTTTCAAGGTTATCTCAGGAGCATATCCAGTTTTCTAAAGTATGTTTGATTTTATCATATATTAGACTGCAGGAGCACAAATGCATATACTGCACTGTGTGTACTCAGCAGGGGATAGAGGGGAAATCCCTACCATCAAAGAAAATAAGCAGATAGCTTATTGTTAGAAGTAGTAAATGCACTGTTTTCTGACTTCTTACAAACAGATAATATGCATAACAGCGTGCCCCTCTTTAGCAACTTTCCATAGTCTACCAAGCACTGCCTTAGGTCTGTGCTCCTATTCCTCTCTGTAGTCTCCAGCTCTCTGGCAATCCTTTGCACTTGGTGCTTTTGTCCATAACCATCACGCCAGAGCTTCTGAGAAAGGGCTCTCCAGGCCTTTTCACCTGAGACTTCCACACCTGCTAAGTTCTTGTCCTGTGAGTGTCCCTCCATGATTAACCCTTTTGTTCTGAGTCTGGCCTGCTCTGAGCTGCTTCTTTTAATTTACTAGTGGGCTTCCATTAGCCTTCTTTCAGAACAGGAATTTTTTTCCCAGGGCTCCCCTGGTTTTTTTTTTTTTGTCAGTTCTCTCCCAACCATTCAACAATGCAATAAAACAAGACAAAGTTCTCATTCACAGCACTCTCCCAGCAACTTTATTCCACACTTTCTCTGGGTTAGCTTCTCTACGCTAACTTTTTTCCTTCACAGCTGTCCAGGCCTGCTCTCTTGGACCTCACGCAGCTCTCACTAGATAACTCTTGTTCTCTTACTGCTTCCCTTTTCTCTAACTGCTGTTGGTCTTTATAACAGGCAGGTGCCTTCTCTTCGGCTCCCTTAGGAGACAGCTAAGTAGTTGCAGGTAAACTGGACTTGTTTCCTTTTAAAGGACCGTTCAGGGTACCTGTACATGTGCAGGATTAGTCAAATCTGCTGGCGCGTTCTAATTAGAACGCTCCAGCAGCGTTGCCGTCATGTGTATGCAGTGTCCCTGTATTTCAAAATGGTGGTGGAGGCCCTTTAACTAAAGCTCATTCAAGCCATTTTGAAGCTTGGGACACTGAATACGAGACGTTGCGGGTGTTGTAATTAGAGCGGCTCCTGAAAACCGCTCTGATTAAAATGCCTCTCCCCTCCCATGCTGGAGCACATGTATAGACATGTGACATTGCCATGGGGAAAATAAAATATAGGAAGACTTTAATTCCCTCATAATAGCTAAGTAATGAAAAATTACTGTATTCTAAAATTAATCACAGAGAATACAACTTCTGTTTTTTTGAGTTGGCTCAATTCAGAAACGGTTGGAAGAGGATGCTGGATTAATGCTTGAGAATAAACTGTGGGATAGTTTTTATGAATATGGTCTAGCATCTTGTGTTGTAATAAGCAATGATTATTTGAGAAGTAGCTGCCTCAAGACAACAGTTTCAGTGGATGACAAATATCAAACAGTGAACTACAAAAATATGCTTCATCAGCTGTGGCCTTTGATGCAAACAAACTCTCACTCCTGCTTTCTTCTCAGATAATTGTCTGTTTTTCCAGAAATATGAATATCCTACATTCTCTAATTGGATATTCCAGCCTGCTCTCAGATTTCTATAAATATTTTGCTGAACCTTCTCTGGGTAATTTTGAATACCAAATTCATTGTTATTGGAGAGAGAAACTCAGACAGTAGCCAGATTTGTCAGACTGGATGCTAAAAACTTGTATAGAGTGCCAAAATAGAGCAGTTATTTTCTGAAAGATATTTTATCTAGTAAAGAGAAAGCAAGGAGGTCACAGGTCTTTCAAAAAATGTATGGCACGATTTGTTCTAGCAAAGTTGCATTCTAGCACTTTATCAAACTATGTGATAGTTTATTTTTTGTATTTAAATACTTATTCAACATTTAATTTTTTTAAGCAGATATTTTAAAAATTGCTAAAATATTTGATTTATAGGAATTATTGATGCCAAGCTAATTGTGTTCAGACTTATTTTTTATATTTATGTAAAAATATGCAAAAGTTTAAGAATAAGCATTGGAACTGGAGAAAATATAGGAAAGAGCAATATTCCTAATTATACTGTACCGACATCCTGTGAGTATACATAACAAAAATAAGTTAACAAATGACTGAATTTTGCTTTTCTAAACAGATAAGATACTGACTTCCACAGTAGGGGAACTGCTTTCTTTGTTCATAAGATATATCATAAGAAAATAAATATATGGGTGAGATTTCTGTAAAATTTCATGGTCCATCAAGTTTGCAGGCTTGACAAATATTAGCTAGGTTGTACTGTCAGGTAAGATGAGGGATAAGAACAAGTTGTCTTGCCAAAGCTTATGGTGCAACAGCTATGTTCAAGAAGAATACACGTTTTTTAATAATTAGTTAGCTCTTGTAGGCTTAACCTGCTTTCTGTATAAGCAGGCAATTATGTTTTCCTAAATGTTTGTGAAGTGTCTAAGTCTGAGAAAGCCCTGGCTCCATGAAGATAAGGATAGCAATGTATTATAAGAGAAAATGTTCTTCTTTTGACTAAAAAAATCTTTCCCATTTAATTTTCTCAAAGAGTTCATGCAGATGTTACTCTTAAATCGACCTAAGTAGAGTAAGGTTGATCTAAGTCAGCGGTTCTGAACCGGGGGTACATGTACCCCCAGGGGGTACGTGAGATATATTTCATACATTGTCTAACACAGGTCAAAGGGCCTAAAAAAGTCTTGACAATAGATATCCTACTCCTGCTCCATGCCTCAACCTCGCATTGGAAACGTCGCTCCTAGCGGGTACGTGAAGTCTCACTTTGAGACCACGAGGTACATTGACTGAAAAAGATTCAGAACCGCTGATCTAAGTGTTGAGCTGTACATGCATTCAGGGAGTTTAGATAAAACACAAAGTGGCCAGCCCAATTTAATTTAGTTCCCCTAAGAAGGTGCACTATGCAGATCAGGCTAATATGTGCCTGGTTCAACTGGATGTGTACACATTTAATGTTCAGCTTGCGGCACTTTAGTGGGGCTTTTTTGGCACTTTTATCTAATCGCTGATTGAATCCACTTTAGCTAAAAACACCAAAAAGCCCGATCTATACAGATGCTGTAGAGCTGGGTCTAACTAACACGTTGC